TAGTGGGGCGGGGGGGCACCAGGAAGTTTCACACACTAGGTGAGCTACGAAACATCCTGCAACTGCAGCAAGTTTACTGCCAAGCAGGATGTGGGGTTTTGAGTGCTTTGTTCATGCACAGTTTCTTCAAGGACAGGTACAAAATGGCACTGAGGGACAAGATGGAGTCGGGTTGACTATCACACCTTCAGGAGGTGTTCACCCCTGCCTGGTTTGCCCTGTCCATGAGCCTCGAACACTCCCACACCCAGGGAATGCTTGAAGAAGGAAGCCCTGGGTATGTCAGGGACTCGTCCACTTAGCTGGGTGATTGTAGGGGCTCTGACAGCACTTGATATGCCCACTTTGTCCAGCATGAACATCCACCTATTATGTAAGACCTGTCAGCCTCTTGTCCTCTGGAAAGCTTTTCCCAATTCACTGTCCCACTGCTCCTGCTCCTTCCAGACAGTTAGTTATTTGGAATGGTCACAGGACCCAGGACTCAATCACATGCTACATGTTTTGTTTTACACCTGTCTGTCACCATCTCTGTCTCCTTTACTAGAGTGTCAGCACCCAAAGGCAGGTACCAAATGTCATCCACCTCCCATCCTCTAGCACCCAGCACAGGGCTGGGCACACAGCATTCCTTATATGAGAGGATACTTGTTAAACACCATGTGCAGGCACTGTGGCAAGGGCTTTGTTTCTACCATCTCAAAAATCCTCGAAAGTAGTATGTTACTCTAGATGCCATGGATTGACAAAAACAAAAATTCAGATGAGCTTAAGCTAAAAGTAAATTCACTGGCTCAATTAAGAGAAAAATCTGAAAGGATGCCTTCAGGCATGGCGGGATCCAGACGCTCTGAGAACAACCAAATTCTTCCCCTCTCTCTCAGCTCTGCTTCTCTCTGTCTGGCTTCACTCTGCAAGCAAACTCTCTCTACCAAGAGGGAAGCTAGCTGTTAGCAACAGTTGCATCCTCTTAGCTTGCAACACAGTGGGGAATGCCAACACTCCCACTGATTCAGCAGAAAAGTGAAGTGTCTGGCTCTTCCTGGCTACATCTGGTGACAGGGGCTGCAAGTAAAGTGAGTGGCAACCTAATAGATTAGAAACCTCTCTGAGCAGAATAAAATTCAGGTCCCCCTGATCTGCCATGGGAAGATGCTGCCATCACACCATGGTATAAAAGGAGAAAGATGAGCGCAGAGTGAAGAGCCAACCTGCCTAGGTGCACAGAAGGTAACAAGTGGCCAAAGCAGGATTTAAACTGGCTGGTCTGACACCAAAGCCTGTGCCCCTCCCCAGCCATTATACTAGCTCCCAGTGAGTTTTGGGATGGACAGCAGCCCAGGATCCCAATGGCAAACAAACACAGGTTTGAGATCTCCTTCTGAGACTCTGATCTCTATAAGCTCAAGTGTTCTCAGCACTGAAATATGAACAGTCATAGTATCTACCTATCTTGTAGTGAGATTAAACGAAATAATACACTTAGAACAGGATCTGAATAAGCGAGCAACTGATACCTAGACTCTAACATGGAGATTCTGTCTGAGTGGTTTCTCTCAAGGATAAAAGGCTTGGGGTCAGGGGTTGTGGAGGATTTGGGGCCCCTAATAATCTTCACCACCACTGAAAGCATTCATCTTGAACATTCCTATTCTTTGAGCTGGGCAATTAGCTTTTTTATTTTTTTATAAAGTGGAAATAAAAGCACGTTTAGAAAATACTGATACCATTCTTTTTCGCACCAGGGATCAAACTCAGGACCTTGCGCTTGCGAGGCAGGTGGCAGGCAGAACGACTGAGCTAAATCCCCAGTCCCAATACCATCATTTTTTTTTTTTTTTTTTTTTTTTTTTGGTATCAGGGATTGAACTCAGAACCTTGCACTTTCGAGGCAGGCAGCAGAACCACTGAGATAAATCCCTGGCTCCAAAATCCCATTATTTTTGACCTATAACTCAGCTCTAAGCAAGATTCCAAGCTCATTTTTCTCTCCACCTGACAACCCCTTCCATAGGAGCTTGAGAGCCATGCCTGGCCCCCACATTTCATACGCTGGGCTTGCAATGGGCACCACCCCATTTATGATCATACAGGTAAAGAGCTTTAAAGGTGCCAAGGGCCATAATTAGCCTAGAAGGTCATCCAAATTTTCCTAGCACTGTGGAACCCAGGAGTCCAGTCCAGGCCTGGGCAGGGCTGCTGTGGGGCAGATGGAGTCAGGCAGGGGACAGGAGCGGAGCTGCTTTGTGAGAACTTGACTTGTCTGCCAGCCAGCAGGCCACTGTAACCCTTTCCCAACTCTAAGGGCAGATGTCTCCGCCCCCAAGAGCTTTACAATCATTCCCATGTCAAGTGGGAGGGCACTGTCCTGAGCCGTGTTGTGCTTTCTCTCAGACCCAGGGACCCATCCTGCTGTCACAGTGCTAATCCAGAGGGCACTGCGTTCCTCAGAGGCCTGGATGGGGGTGGGGGAGACCTGATGCTCAGAAGGGAGAGGAAGAGGAAATAAGGCAAACTTTGCTCAACTCCTCAGTGGCTCTGCTGGGCAGCCACCCCATGTGTGTGTAGCTGAGAGCTCCGGGTCTGGGATGCAGAGATGCTGGGCTATAAACACAGAGATGTCAGCATGCAGGATATGAGATGCTACCTCAGTTTCCCCTCCTCCACCCTACCTTTCTCCCTCCCAGTCCCCATTCAAGCACTCCGAGAAGCTGATGACTGACAACTGCTTGCTGGGCACCTGGGGAGATCTGGGTGCCTCTGGCTGGAGCTCTGCCTTCCCTGTAGGATCTTGGCAACAAGTGCTTACAGCAGGCTCACTTATCCAATGCTTATAATACTGAGGTACTGTTTGAACACCCATTTTATAGACAAGGAAACTAGGGCTTAGGGAGGTGGTATGACCTTCTTAAGGTCATACAGCTCATAAAGGGCAGAACTAGAATTCAAACCAGGGCCTATTAAACCCCAAAGCTCTTGCTCGTCTATAATCTCAGGACATGGAACAGAGATGACCACTTACTACAGAGAAGAGGAAACTGGCTCAGAGAGGCCTATCAGAGGCCAATCAATCCTCTGATCTGCCTAGAAAGGGGGTCAGCAAGGGGTAAAGAAGACGACAACAGAGACTTGCATAATTCCATAATCCACGGGAGGCTGGGAGGTCAGTGCCTCAGAGTGGGCAAAGACAAAGACACTCTGAGCTTGCCACTATTTATTGGGTGTGCACAATAAGGTGGCGGTAATCCTATGCTGATAAAAAATCTTAGGTCACTAAGGATCTTACCTGATGAGGACAGTGAGATTGGCAAAGCATTCTTACAACAGTAGGTGGAGGGCCAGGGATTTAGCTCAGTGGTTCCAGCACCTGCCTCCAAAGCACAAGGTCCCAAGTTCATCCCCTGTACCAAAAAACACCCAACACGCACAATAGTAGGTGGGACAAGATAGGCTAATAAGTGTGAGACCAGGATAAACCCAAGAAAGGCCATCTTGGCCTGTAGATAAACTCCCCTCATGCCCCTCCCCTTATAAAATAGATGTATAGTGCCTGGTGCCTCCCTTTACTGTAAATTGCCCTAATCTGACAAGACAGCAAGATAGCTGAGTTGTGAAAAATAGTTTTGCAACTAGTCAAAAACATGTTAACTTATCCTTGAACTTCTCTTCTTAAAATAACACCTATAAAAGCTATGCTGCTATAACACCCTATATAAACTGTGCTGTTCCTGGACTCAGGGCTTCACTTCGCTTAGGGAGTGGAGTCCACTCGAGTGAATAAACTCCTTTCAGTTTAACTTTGTCGTTGGTCCCAGTGTTTGGTGATTTATCAGCTCACTTGGCACAACAATAATGTATCTGTCTTTCCCCCAGGTGAACCCCCCCCCTTTATTACTACTGGGTTCTCAAAGAACCAAAACTTCTTCAGCTGATGTAATCTTGCCCTTGACCGTCACAGTATCACTGGACCATTGAGGTCTCAATTTCTGGGCCAGGGATTTAGCTCAGTGGTTCTGCCGTTTTCCTCACAAGCACAAGGACCAGTACCGCCCCCCGCCCCCCCCAAAAAGTCTTTGAGGGCTCAATTTCTGACCAGAGACGAAGGAGTTATGTTAGCTCGAGGGTGAGAAGACACTGGGCTTTAGACAGTCCTAATCACAATTTAATTATGAGATGATTTTTCCCCAGAATAGTGTAGAGCGGCTCTCTATAGAGGTCAAAGGACCTGCCAAAGCTTGTACATGTAGAGCCAGGCCCATTTCTTTTACTACCAATCCAAAGTCTATTTTGCTAGCAAAAAAAAAAAAAAAAAAAAAAAATGGTGGAGGCACTGAAGAGATGATCTGGAAGTTTTCTTTCAGCTGAGATACTTTTTATTTTTATTTTTTGGTACCAGGGATCAAATTTGGGTCCTTGCGCTTGCGAGGCAGGCGGCGGAACCACTGAGCTAAATCCCCGGCCCCAGCTAAGATACTTTTAAAATCTGGAAGAAAAAAAAAATCTGGAAGAAAAAAAAAATCTGGGTTGCAGCGGAGCTGAAGGTGAATGGGACACTTCCCTCTTCCTGCCGCTTTTCATACCTTCTGACTCAGGAATTGACACGCCCCATCCCTTCAATGAGTGAGAGAAAAAGTCACTCAAGAAACTGAGGGCTCATCCTTTTTTTTTGTACCAGGGATCGAATTTGAGACCTTGGCTTGCGAGGCAGGCAGTGGCACCACTGAGCTAAATCCCCAGCCCGGCTCAGCCACTTTTGAAGCTTGGACCAAGGAGATCTCCCCCCACCCACCCTGAGGCTTCTTCCTTAGCAGTGTCACTGTGGTCACTCCCTGAGTAACCCTCTCGCCCCCTCAGCCATCGGTGAGGCAGTGAGCGTGGTCCCCAGGGAGAGTGTGAGGCGCACGTGAGCACAACTCCCCTGAGCACCGACACTCGCCGGCCCAAAGCATGGGACACTCCTCTCTGCTCTTGGCTACCCGGGAGCCTTGGCTCGGCCTGGGGCAAGACACACCCCAAGGGAGGAGCCACCGTTTCCCGGCGGGCTCCCGGCGGCCGGGCCAGCTCGCTCTTGTTTCCCGCAGCTCCCCCGGCCTGGACGACATGGCCCAGGATCGTCGCACCTGCGCCCTGGAGCCTGAGCACGTCCAGCGCCTGCTGCTGTCCTCCCGGGAAGCCAAGAAGTCCGCCTACTGCCCCTACAGCCATTTCCCGGTGGGGGCCGCCCTGCTTACCGGAGACGGGCTGATCTTCTCAGGTAAGGGCGGGGGCCAGGTCCCCTCCTTGGCAGCCTGGGTGGGGGTCAGAGGAGGGTGCGCAAGGGAGCGAAGAGCGAGCCCTGTCCTCTCCTTGCGCTCTCCGGGCCGCCCTGCCTCTCCTGCCCCACAGTGGGATGACAATGTGACCCGGACCGGCTGGGAGCTGTCATGGGGGCGGGGGGTGGGGGATCAGAGAAACTAGGGGAGGCCAGAGTCAGGAGCCTGGGGCTAGGGGCCGGTGCTGGCGCCCCAGGATCACCTCCCCGGTGCCTCCTCTGTGCCTACCCGTTGAAGCTTCTTCGTTGTATCTGCAAGTCCTCACCAGTGACCTCTGACCTTGGTGTATGCCCATTTACAGAGGAAGAAACTGAGGCCCAGAGAGATGACATGATTTCCCAGGGTCACAGGTAGCTGGTGGTGGAGCCCAGGGCCCGGGTGGAGTTTTCCCTGGACCCACAGTGCTGGGGATGGCTCGAAGAGAAAGAAAGAATCGCCAGGGAGCTGTGGCTCCAGCGAAGGGTCTTGGAAGCCAGAAGGCATGTAGGTGTCCAGCAATGGGTGGCAGCCTGGGGCAGTGGGGTAGGAGAAACCTGAGTTTGCAGGGAGCTGCCCCTAGGCTTCCCTTTGAGGCTTGCTGGAGGGGAGGACAAACTTACCTGTGACTCTCAGAGAAGCTCTTTCCTAGCTTGGGTGAGGGCCTGGGTTCCATCCTCAGTATAAACACAAGTAAACAAATCTCACCCAAACAACTATTCTAACTTCTTTCTGCTAAGCTTAGAGGCATTCTCATTCAGGACAACAGGGGACTAGGTATGGAGATGACAGGAAGCAACTACAGTGCGTTTGTGTCTCCTGCCTGTTGCTGTTCTGTCCATGGTTTCTTGAGTCACCTGATTCTCAAACATCTTTGAGCAAGAAAAGGAACCTTGACTGCATGCTGGTTTATGAACTGATGGTGACACATGCTGTCCATTTAACCCTTACAATCCTTCAGGGCCACTATGGAAACTGAGGCTCAGAGAGGAGCAGTACCCAATATCACAAAGCTGGTACTAGACCCAGAGCTCCTAGGCTCCAAAGCTTGCTCTCTGTTGGTGGCAAAGGATCACTGAGCATTGGTGTTGCATTGAAACTCAGCCCTGAATGCCAGATGTGGTAGCACATGCCTGTAATCCCAGCACTTGGGAGACTGAGTGAAGCAGGAGGATTTCTCCAAGTTTGAAGTCAGCCTGGTTTACGTAGGGAGTACAAGGCCAACTTGAACTATATAGCAAAATCCTTTTTTTAAAAAAAAAAAGAAAGAAAGAGAAACAGGCCTGGCAGGGTGGCTTAGATGAGCATTGAACATTAACTAGCACCACAACAACATTGCAATGTGCAACGTTATAAAGCCTTAAACATGGAATCAGCCATTGAATTTTCAAGAGCCTCCATATCCTCCATAGATGCTACATGAAGCCCACTTGCCTCAGCATCTCCACTGACCCCTTCTGGGTCACCCCCTGGACTTGGTGCTGCAGGGCAGAGGTTGCATCTTGGATCTTTGTACCACTGACCTCCTCCATTCAGGTCCCCATCACTTGCCCGGTCCAGAGCAGACACTTAGCTATTGCTGATGGACTGATTGGAGGAATGAAGGAGTTGCCCTTGGAGATGAGGGAGTTTGGAGAAGCAGAAGGACATCCAGGGACAGGTGGTAGATGGAGTCAGCATGCCAGGCCACATTTCCAGTGGGGCTGCCTTCCATCCTGTTTTCCAGCATTAAGGCTGGTATCCTGCTGGGACAAACAGGTGGTCAGTTAACCAACAATGCCACCCTTCCAACCCAGGCCTTTCTTTTCTTTTTTAATCCTACATAAGAAAAGGCACACCTTCCCTCAAAAGTGACACCTGGGAGCTCCTTCCAGAAAAGCCCATGTCTTGCTCATCCTCACGTTGACCTATCCGTGCAACAGGCACTCACTGAACACCAACTCTGTGTCAGCTCACATGCCAGGTGGTAGGGATGCCATGAGAGCAGAGATGACATAGTTTCTGCCCCCATAGAGGTCCCTGAATCTTGCACAGCCCAAGATAGGAGTTCAACCAATGATTGTGGAAGGGGTGATTGTGGAAGGAAGGAATGAACAGTGTGGCTGTTTAAATTGCACAGAATGGCTAGTGTCTCCAGAGAAAGGGCTGCACATGGAATATTTAGGAGGCCCAGGGTGGAGGTGAAGGCTCTGGATAAGCAGCTCGTGGGTTTGAGTCCTGGTGCTGTGATGTGACCCTGGGAGAGACCTTTCAACCCTCTGAGCTGCAGCTTCCATGTTTGTAAAGCAATCCTTGCAAGACGGCTGTGAGCAGAGTTGGCATCCCAGCAAGGTGTGGCAGCCACCGTCCGCTCTGGTTGGTTGGAGCCTGGGCTATGTCAGTCATCGAATATATTGAATCTCAGTCCTAGTTGTGAAGCTTTAAATGAGCTAATGCCTATTAAGTGCTTGGCACAGTTTTTGCCAAAGACCCTGACTCCAAGGTCCCAGTAGACCAGGCTTGGTCACTGGTCCCAACATGCCCATCAAGGACACAAGCAGAGATGAAGAACAGGACAGGAGCTTTAATCAGCATGGCCATGCCTCGGGGACATATAAAGAGGTTCAAGATCTTGTCTTCTAGGGACCAACTCCAACCTTGGGTTTTAGAAGAAAGAGGAACAAAGGTGAGGGTTGTGAGTTTGCATGGGTGGGGTGGGGCATTGTATAACTGGCACCATAGATAATCTTGTCAAGTCGTGGTCTAGACCAGTTCTAGATTCTGCAAGAGCCATCACTGCTTGGGGCAGTTGGGTTCGCATCATGAAATGACAGCTCCTGCTGTAGAGGACAGCCTCGGTTCACAGCCATGGGGTATTTGCTCCCACTTGGGAAGGTAACCTCATCATGGGATGGTCTATGAGGCTCTGGTTTCTTGAAATCCAAGGTGACTGCAGGCTTAGGATAATGACTTCTAGGCATCCCTCCAAGGGGTCTAGAACTGGACATTGTAAAAGCTGGCAACTGGATGTCCCTGCAAATCCTGAAATTAGTTACTGTGCTTTTTTTTTTTGCTGAATAATATTTATTAGCTTAATAATTTGGGCCTGCCCTTAGCATTAACAAACTTCAGCACTAGTCACAAGATTTTTATTCACTGGTGGGGAAACTTTCTTGTTTTAAAAAATGCAATTAGAGAAAGGGTGTCTACTTCTTAGGGGCTGCAGTGACAGCAGGCTTCTCTTCACAAATGATGGGTGTGGTGCACTCAAGGCCAGAGACCTGTTTCCTTGGTCCATTCACAGTCAGGACCCCATCAGATGACAGGGATGAAGTAATGGTGAGAGGCTCCACATCAGTTGGGATCCTGTATTTCCTGTGGAACTCCCTGGAGATAAAACCATGTTCATCCTGGCACTCCTCATGCTTGCCATGCACCTCAATCACATCTCCCAGCACCTTCACCTTGAGTTCCTCTGGGGAGAAGTGCTTCACATCCAAGTTGACAGAGAACCTGTCCTTTTCTAGAAATAGCAAGGTGAGGGAAGGAGGAGAAAGATAGCAGGAATGTGATTCCATTGATGCAAGCTCATCATTTTGCAGAACTGCTTTCTGTCCAGGTAACTATTTTTCCCTTGTCTGCTAAAAATCTCTTTTCAAATTAACATGGCTCTTGGTTCAGGTTTATCAGCAGCTACTGTACTTTTCTGTGGGTGCCTTCAATCTAGAAGGAGGATGATTGGGCTAGGCAAATTTAGGGCTAATAATCCTTGCATTAAACAGACACTTCTTAAGTGATTAGCATGCCTATATCCAGAACTGGGCAAGGATCTGATCCCAAATTTTAAGGGACTAAAGGAGATAGATTTTAAAAATGCAGACAGGGGCTGGAGATTTAGCTCAGTGGCTCTGGCGCGTGCCTCAAAAGCACAAGGTACCAAGTTCGATCCCCGGTACCAAAAAAAAAAAATTCAGACAGATGCCAAGCTTTACTCTGCTTTCAGTTACCCATTGGGCATCTGCAGACCCATCTACTAAGCCTCTGTTACACAATAAGGATGTCACAAAAGAAGGCTGCTTTTTTACTATTAATGGTGCCGTTACTGTTGTTGTTGTTATTTGGAGGCAGTTGGTGGAGGACTTTTGAAAGTCAAGCAGAGACTGAGATTTGAAAAGGTAGGAAATAGGGAGCCAAGGAATGTTACTGAGGAGAAGGGTAACATAAAAGTGGTGTTTGAGGACTGCTCATCTGAAGGAGGCCTGGAGCAGAGGGAACAGCATCAGGATGATGTCTTTTTTCATCACTGACTTGTCCAGTCTGCATGTCACCTGTCCCATAATTGGTCCTGGGATAAGGATTGTGGATCACATGAATGGATGGCTTAGGCCAGGACTGTGGCAGATGGAACAAAGGAGGAAGATCTGAAAGATACTGAATGGGACAAATGGACGGTGTCTTGGGTGGGCAGGTTTGGACATGAAGGGAAGGAACAGGGTTCAGGATTTGCAGCTGTGGAACAGGGAATGATTGAGGTACAGACTAGAGTGGGAAGCTGCCAGAGCTGAATTGTGCTGTGGATCGCTGCAAGTTCAAGGCTAACCTGGGCAACATAGTGATTTCAAGATCAGCCTGAACTACATAGCAAGACCTTGTCTCAAAAACAAACAAACAAAGAATACGAAAAAAAAAAGGCAGACTGGGGATAGAGCTCAGTGGTGCCATACCTGCCTGACAAGTGCAAGGTCCTAAGTTTGATCCCTGGTACCACCAAAAACAAACAAACAAAATAAATAAATACGTAAATAAATAAAGGACTGGGAATGTAGCTCAGTGCCATGGCCCTGGGTTCAAAGCCCACTACCATAAAACAAAAACAAACTAAAGAAAATGTGTACACCTGGACTGGGAGTGTAGCTCAATGATAAAATTCTTGCCTAGAATGTAAGGCCCTGTGATCCCTGGGAAGAAAGAAAGGAAGGAAGGAGGA